ATATATATAAATTGGGGAAAATAGGTAATTACAAGACACGATAATTACAAAATACAAAAAGAAAACATTACTCCTTAAATGTCACAAAAATGTAGATCCCATATAGTAATAAGCTTAATAACTATTAAGAATGCCAATCCTGTAATTTTGAACTATGACTACTTCACCTTCGCTAGTACACGATACATACCAGTGCCGTACCCATCAGTGTCAAACGCAATACGGCGGAGTTCTTTTATTTTATCATGAGCATCTTGATCTTGAGGGTCCATCTTAGTATGCATACGTTGTTCCAGAAGACCCAATGTCAAAGTTTCAAGGACATAAAATTGATGAGCCATTTCTGCACCAACCTGAAAATTTAAAATCTTAATGTAATCAATATATTCACTACAATCATGAATGTAGCGAAAGAACGATTAATAGCTCATTAATATTCGGTGATTACAATAAGTTTCATACATTCAAAGCATTTATAGAATAAATTACGCTATGTGCATTTTGTAATTCGTTGACAATAATGCTGACAAACTCACAGGGAAGTTACGAGTACAAGTATATCCAATATACCACGTTGACTAAATGCAATCTGCGAAAGTACCAAAAACCTTTATAGAAGAGATTCAAACGAAGAATGCAACATGTTTGAGCTACAATTTATTGTAGAGCAAATCATTGAATCACCCTGTTCCCGGTTTGATATAAAGGAAGCCCCGATTTCCCGACTCCATCTGTAAAGGACTCAACTTTCTCGGTAGATCTCCGACACGAATGTAACGTTCACAGTTATCTTTACCTGATCGAGATTCACAATCCTGTAATTCCGATCAAATGTTAGTCTGTTTTTCATTCAAAGCAGCTCAATCAGAATTAGTAGTTTGTTTCCTTTGAAAAAATGCCGATCAAACCTGAAAGGAATACTGATCAGAATTGATATTTTAGTCAGTATACATTTCTAGACTCTCCTATTTGGACAGTTCAGTTTTTATTTAAGTAATCCAGATGAACATTAACTAGTTTTAATCATCTCCCCTTCAAAGGAACTCCTATGAGATCTGACTAGTTTTACAGACAGCAAATTATATATTTATTCAGAAGTTCGAATTATTGTTACAGCAATTAACACCCACCGTTACGGACTCTCGAACCAAATAATATAATTGGTGTTTGGACGGTTTATAACAGGACACCTAAAATTTTACAGAAGAGCTATTTGAAATTCACACGTAAATTACTGTAATAAACACCAGGTGAAAATGACATTAGCACTTCCCTATGCGTTAACGACACAATTATAAGACTTCAAGAAACTGAAGACGACCTACGCCCTTTTCTATTCCGACTTCTCTATTGTGATTCTTAGCATGTTAGTGCAGTGTATTGCACTCAAAACTACGCAATGTTTAATCAACATCAAAATGGTCCTTCCACAAAATAGTTATGGAAAGATCGCAGCATACACACTTTCAGACACCCGTTCAATTATTAATTCCATTTGGCAAGATACGCAAGAGAAATCACTTGCATTTTGATACGTATCAAGCAAGTATAGCAACAACAGCACCCACCTTCTCGTAGTATTTGTAACTAACTAAAAATCAATTCAGGAATTGGGAGTAATTTCTGATAAAATTTGGAAAATGTTAAGATTTCATGTAAAGTACACCAGAAAATCACAGCATTCCCTTAGAATTCGTGAGGCCTCGAGTTCGGTCAAATCGATCGAGGAATACTAATTTTGGAGAAAATCGCCTGAACATTTTAGGCGCGAGCGTTGACTACAGACTAACCTATTTTTCGGTATGAAGGACCTACAAATCGTGGATTCTGACACGTGTTAGAGGAAGTAATTTACTACATGCAGGAAGATTGTTTATTCATTTTTTTTTTCAGTATGTTGGGACAATAAGAGTAATTTCTGAGGAAATCACTGCAATATTACAGTACTTTCTCTCTATTCCGTAACTACGAAGTAGTGAAAAACTAAAAATTAATGAAGAATGCGGTGTAAGATGTTTTCAAGAGATACTTAATAACTCCCAAAATCTCTGAACCCAACGCCTAATATTATTTCTGAACCTAACAACCTAATAGTATTAACATTATATTAGGAGAGAAAGAAATACGACCTTCAAAAGATAGAGTGAAAGCAATAAAAGAAGTTCCTCAACCTAACAATAAAGAAGAAAAACGGTCATTTTAGGAAATGTAATTATTTACAATTGATTTTTTTTAAATAAATCGCTTTAAAAAATAGTAGAATTTGCACCAGTTGTTGGATTAAAAAACCATGGCAGTGGGCAAAAATACACGAAGAAACATTTAATTATCTAAAAGAACTTATGAGCTCTTATTTCGTTTCGGCTCATGATGAAGAAACAAAAGATTTTAAATTAAGATGCTTCCTTCGCCTTATGGAATTGGTGTTGTTTCAATACAAAAGGAAAGTAGTAAGAAAAAAAATTGCTTATTGGTCTCGCACATTAGGTAAATGTGAAAGAAATTAAACTCAAAACGACAAAGAGCAGCTTGCCATCGTTGGAATAAATATGTTCCATTAGTGTGTAGCAGGAAAAGAATTTCACATTAAAATAGATCACCATTCTCTGTTAGGATTATTAAGTCTTAAAAAGCCAATCCCAACAATATTGTCACCGAAAATGTTACGCTGGTGTTTGATGTTAAGTATTTATAATGATAAAATACAATATAAGGAAAAGAAAATTCAAACGCTGCCTGAGCCGATTACTTTTATCTGAAAACAAATATGAGAAAGTACCTAGCAGGGATATTACTTTACTAGAATATAACAACAGACCTATTGTAGGAGAAGAAATTTGTAAAAAACATCCAAAGACGCGATTTTGTCGAAGGTACAATATTGGATGTGGCATCAAAGGCCAAACACTGAACTTTCAGAAGAATTCAAACCCTGTCAGCGAAAGAAAACGGAAATTTCTGTGCATAAAGATTGTCTACTCTGAGGAAATCGTTTAATAGCAACTGAAGGGACGCGGAAAGCAATTTTGGGTTTATTACATGCCAATCATCCAGGAATAGTGGCAATGAAATCGTGTGTCCGAAGTTACGTTTGGAGGCCAAAAAATTAATAAAAAATTTAGAAGACTGTGTAAATCATTGCAGCAAATGTTAAACGAGTGCTTATTATCCACCGAAAGCTCTTAATCAGACATTTTTAAAACTCAAAACCCATGGTCAACTTTACATGTTGATTTTGCGGGGCCGTTTAAAGGTCAAACTTTTTTGTTAGAGGTTGACGCAATGAAACCTATAAGACAACGGCCGGGCATTTACATCTAAAGAACTCCGTGAATTCTACAATAGGGATTTAATAACATTTTCTACCATATCGCATTACTATCCATCCAGTATCAGCCAAGCGGAACGCTTGGTACAAACCAAGAAAATTTAAGCAAAACTAGATGATGATGACAATGATCTTCAGTTACAAAGAACACTTTTCAGACAGCATACGACAATACATTCAGGAACTGGGAAATCACCTGCTCAACTTCTAATGGAAATAAAACTATGATCTGTGTTTCATAAATTGCACACTTATGCTTGGAGAAAAAAAGAAGAAATAACCAAAAACTCGATTCACAAACTAACAACATTTAAACTATGCGAGATAGTTTAGGAACTATAACTCGTCTGGACCAAAATAGATAGGAGTAGTTCACGAAATAGTAGGATCTGTCTCATATAATATTAAATTGCAGAACTGAACAATAGTTAAAAGACGTGTGGATCACGTAAGACGATTTCAGAAGAAAGTAAGGGAGAGTCATAAAAGCAAACAATCAATTATCAGAGAAATTGCTCGAGGGGACTAATTTGTCTGTTGCAGGGGCTGCCCGCCTGTTATAAGCACTCCATCTACGAGCACTTGTTCATCAGAGTGAGAGCCCTCGGGCGACTGAAGTTGTGACTCTGGTCTTGAGACCACTATAGACACTTAAAAAACAAATTATTTGAAAGATTTTCGAAGTTAGAAAAGGGAGGAAATGTTATGTAATGTTAAGTAAGTCCCGCATAATCAAACGCGTGAAGTCGTTTCAAAAGTATATCAATTTAAGAACACAGAAGCAAAAGAAGGTATTAAAAATGTCAAAGCAGTTCTTAAGCGATTGGCGGCTGCTACGGGTGTTTATAAAGGATCTGATCACAGAATTAATAAGGAAATGAATTTTATTGAATCGAGAGAAACTTGTTCATTTTCGACTCCTAATAAAGAGAGGAAGAGGAAGCACGTGGAATCTGGTCGACGGTTTCAATGAGAGTGATTCGCCGCACAATGATTAAATTCACCATATCAAGAAATTGTTATTTTTGCAGGAAACGACGCAAACAATATCAACGGGCGATAGTGATGGTAGTTATGATAGTAAGGTGCCAGTGACGGGCAAAACCTGTGCGTGACAAGAAGTGTATTCTGCGCACTTTTTCTGAAATTCTGGTATCCCTTTCCAATCTCTTTCAAAACAAACATTCATGATGAACAAGGCAAGTCAGCGAACATCATATAGTTGACAAGTGGTATCAATCTAAACATAGTGACTAGATGAATATACTAATTGATCTTTTGAGGTAGAATTAAAATATCAAGTTCACAAGATAAAAGGTTACTGAGAATTTTGAAATGCAGAAAACTATAATGGAACGATGAAATATAATAAGTTAAAAATATATAAGAAAATTGAAAAATTAAATTATAAATAAGATGAGATAATGAAAAATTTCGCCACTAAGCATTTAAAAGCATCAAATTTTTACAACAAACGGTTTGTAAAATATTAATTATTTTATCATAGACGATATTAGAAGAGTATTTTTAATCATTCAGATTAGTTTTATAGTATTTAATAAAAAGAATTAGGTTTATTTAGTCAAAAAAAGTAAAAACTGTATGTGACGAGTGGGGGAAATCATCTGCGCACGTTTTCTTGAGTTCCAGAATTCCTTCCCATCATTTTACGACAAATAGTTGAAGGATGAGTAAAAGTTAAAGATGAATAAATTTTGTAAAAAATTAAAAAGGCGCGAGATTAGCAATATTTGAAAAAATAGAATTTTGGTTCCCGAGTTATAAAAAAACATATTTGCATCGGTACACGAATTGCAAGTATGATTATTCTGCATTGCTAACAAAATATCAAGTCGCCCTTACCTCTACTCCTACCATTACAAGCTAAAGGAAAGTTAAACAAAACGTGCGCTTAGTGAAATTACATTTACGTCCAGAAGCAAAACAAGGGGCTATCTCAGGATTAGCTCAATGTATCATGGAAACTCGACAATAACCTGATCGAGATGAGGATCATTGACCCGG